TTCCAGTAAAGCTGGAGGTAGGGGAGAACTGGGCCTCTTCATTTTCTTCTTTCTTTCTAGTTCTCATCCTGGTCTTTGGGATCCTAGTGTTAATAGTAAGGTTATGGCTACCCTGCTGGCCACACAATGAGGTTTATTTCCAAGACCTGTGCAGCCAAAGCCTACTCATATAGACTTCTTCTCTAGGCAGCAGATACTGATTTTCCATCTGTATTTGTAAGAGCAACATGCTTAAGCGAAGGATTGCCTATTACCAACCCAAGCTGTGATGCAGCTGGAGCAGCCAAAATGAACAAGTTGTTGCTAGCAGGATTTCTTGACTAATATGGATTAGCGATCTCCCCCAGTTTACAACTGTTATTTAAAAATGTGCTCTAGGCCCTGCTTATTCCTGCTTTTTATCCATATTCTCATTTATCCCAGCCCCGTAGTTTCCTGGTTAGACTGGCTGTACAGAGAGGAGCAAGTGAGTGTGTGCTCATGACCCTGTTTGGGCCTGTTTGTTCTCACTGGACATCATTCAGTCAAATCCTATTTGGCTGCAGCTGCAATAACACTGTGTTTGGGCCCAGTCTTTACCTGAATTAGGAGAAAGTGCTGTCAGTGCCTTACTTCCCCTGATCTGGTTTTGAGACAAGCAATGCCCATCCACCCACACCAGACAGCCTTGAACCTTAAACAGCAAAACCCTCTCCATCCCCCTGTGACTGCAGCACCAACTGGTGCAGCAGTCTGAGCAGTGTGAAACTCTGATGTACATCTTTTAGTTTTACAGTTTGAGCATCATTTTAGTCAAAGTGTGTCAGCTCTAAGTGGGGCGTTTGGGAACATGCCATGACTGTATTTATTCCCTCAATCCTATATTATCCTGTGCAGTGTTGTAGCTGCCAAAACCACACACTCATGTTGGCATGAAACAATTATCCTGGTTTACACAGAGCAGGCTTGGCAATAGTCTATCTCGATGAACAGTTGTAGTGCTGAAGATTCAGAGTCATCTTTTCCTCTCGCTCGAAGCAACAGACCAAATTTCTTTCAGCTGGATTCAGGGTTTTAAAAAATAAAATGAGTACAAGGCGAGTATGAAGAGCAGGGTGTATATGAGCTACCTGTAAGGTCTGAAAGGAAATAAGAATGAGATGGAGAAAAAAAAAAGACTATTTAAGATACAAGCTAGTAATTTTGTTTCTAAGCCCATGTAAAATTATAAGTAATGTTTACTGTTGCCAGTTGGTGAACACAGAGATGTGTGGTTTCTACTTGCATGCAAAGCTATTGGTTGTGGGTGAAATACTAAGACAAAACCATTAAATCTCTGGTGTGGGTATTCCACCAAAAATAAACCCAAACAAACACTGACTTTTTATAAAAGCACTTTTTTTCTGGAAACAAACATTCAGTTGCTGCTGCTCTTTGTGAACTCTAGAACTGTTCAAACCTCCTGTTTAACTTGCCTGAAACAATAATACTTTATTTTAGAAAGTTATGCAAATATCTCTGAAACTTAAGAATAGGTGTTTATATAGTTTTCATAAAAACGGTGTAAACTTGCAGGGATATTGATCAATGATAACTACTGCTTGCTAAGGTCTTGTGAACCAAAAATGCTGCATAGACAACAGTCTATGTAAAGAGTAGGAAACCTTTCTTAATCTTAAAAAAATGTAACTGAAAGTGGACTTAAATTTTAGTTGAAGAAAAAATGTTTTGCAGTGATTATCAAAGGTTAGTAAAGGCTTATTTTTCCTCCTTTTCTCCAGGCAGCTTCACTAAGAGATTTTTAGATTTGTGCTCTATTATGAAAGTAACCACTGCTTTGTTATCAGAGGGGTGATAGAGATTTTTGTTCTAGAGGGCCAGACACTATCACTACTTGAAATTCTCCAAATTGTTTCCACTGTGAGCAAATTCAGTCTCGATGTGAGTCACATCCGCTTAAAAGTGAATATCATTTGCTTCTACTTTACACCAGCATCAGACTTCACCTACAATTTCAAATTTTAAAAATCATCCTAAATCACAGGGTTTGGACAGTTTTGCAAAAGTAACTTTAAAACCAGAAGCACCTAATAGGAAATACTGAAATAAAAGCATTCAGCTTTAGCCATTTCTGGTGGAAACAGAGACGTTTGCTTTCAGATATGAATGCCTCTAGAACTAAAAAAAGTCTAAATGAGGTTTTCCACGTATGGACAAAGAAGTAGCGCTCACATGTAGCTGCAGTTTCTCACCCCGCGAGCAGGGATGGGTGGTGAGTGGAGAGCAGGGGGCCGGGCCGCCTGCCTGAGGCGCGGGCTGAGCTGCCCGGGATGTCCTAAGGGTTACTCGCATGTTTAGCGCCGCAGCTGTGGCTGCACAGCACAGGGGTGTCACTCACTCCACTGCCGCCGCCACCTCCCAGCCCTTCAGAGCGAAAGCTGTTCCAGCCGTTCCATCGCTCTGGCCGGCACTGATGGATTAATGGGAGGAAATGTTTATAGAATGGTTCAGGTTTCCTAAGAGAGTAGAATGAAATCCCCCTCAGCAATGATCAGCAAGCTCAGGTCATGGAGCAGTTTGAAGAAGCCTGACTGGCAGGAATGCAAAGGTTTTTTTCAAAAAGGAAACTTGACAAGTGAGTGATTCCGGGGAGCAGCGAGAGGTGTTTTTCAAATAAAAGATGTGGCTTTTCTAGAGAGGTAGCATGAATGGGGCTAGCTCTTAAAAGAACTTTTAAATCAGTAGTTCGTACTCTGTAAATGTAAAAGGTTAAGTTTGAGGGCACGGTGTCTAAATAAAATAGTGCCCTCAAAGTGCACCTCTTACATACTATGCTTAGTAAATGAAACCATATTGCTGTGCCATCACAGCTACTATGATGGCATCTAGCTAAAGCGTCATAGGTCTCTCTTCTGTAACTTAAATTTTAGTATAGGTATAGTTTAAGTTACAGGAAGGGTGATGAACCAGATGAGGAGGCTGAAATCATTGTGTGAAATGAAAAATCATCATTTCACAGGTGTACTTTTCTGTTTGTTGGGGCACTTTCCATGAGTCTAGCAACACAGCTTGAGATCTAAACATTCATTCCAGTTTAAAAACTTTTGTAAAATAGACCATTCCATTGAAGCTATCAGCTTTCAGATGACTGTGATAAGAAAGAATGTAGGCTTCAGGCTAGCTATTAAGATTAAAGTAAAATTCACCTGAATAAAACTGCAGCTAGACAAGGTGCTGTGGGGGAAGAAAAAAAAAAAAAAGCCAGTTCAAGACACTGCTCTTTGAAAGCCACTGAAAAGGACCTAGTCCTTAGTGATTCCCTAGGACACTCCTCCAGTCTAAGTGAGGATTTAATTTACAGCACTTGTAGCACCCTCCAGTTCTCAATCCCCAAGTTCCTTTGGAATGGGAAGAGAGCATTATCCTTAATTTCTAGATAAGGAACTGGTTTATCAGCTTGCCCTCAGCAAGAGGCAGAGCCTGGAAGAAAACTTGGCTAAGATGCAAGTACCTCAAGTGAGGGCAGACATTTGAAACCAGCTATCTCAAAATGTGCTCTCCTATTGTGAGGGGCTGGTAATCAGAACGGCCAGTTTCAAGTCACAGCTGAGTTTCTGGTCAGTGCATTCACCAAAAAGTCTCTTGCATCTCCCATAACAAAGTGGGGGTGAAAACACTACTTGCAGAGCTTCCCCCCATTTTTAAAACCTGCCAAGTGTTCAAAGACTGAAAGAACTTCATTAGAGTCCTTGTATTAAAAATTATTTATTTAGTGATCTGTACATGGGGTGAAGCAGGGCCTCATACAGACCTTCAAAAAAATCAAGTAAAAACATAAATACATATTTTCTTACAAAAATGAGATTTACAAAATATACATACTGCACTTGTCTTACACACTTTTTTTTTTCTTCTTCCACGTGCACGTTATAAGAGACAAAACCCCAAGCCCTGCAAGTCTGAAATCAGATCTACTGAAGGATTTGGCTGATGAGCCCATTCCTGATGCCCAGACTGCTGGTACGCCCTCAGACAGCAGCAGTCTGTTCCCCCTCACTCTGAACAGTTTTTTTCTTTCTTAAGTTTCGTTCCAGACACTTTTCCCCAAAAAACGTGAAGAGCAGCTATAGGTTGGAGACTTGCTAAAAATCCAGAATTTCCTATTTTGTCCTTAGACAAGAATATACACACACACATATATACTGATAAAAACAACCCTTCAGTGAATATAAAGGTAAAGTAGTATGTAAAAAATAAAATATGAACAAAACTTAAAAATTTTCAGAATAGAAAAATCTGTCACATTTCAAAAAGAAAACAATGTAGCTGTTGATTAATTTTTGAAAGTTCTTCCTTCCAAGACGTGATCACTGGAAACTTAACCAGCTGTATTTTAGCCGAAATGAGAAGGGTCCTTACTTGCAGTAACTGCTTGCTTTTAAACCCCAGCCCCCTCCTGCACCACGAGTCATTGCCATGCAGCTCAGGGAACCTGAGGAGCAGGCAAAGGGTCCATCGTGAGCCAAAAGGATTCCTCCTGTCCCCAGAATCCGGCTGTGTATTGACTTTGTCTGCAGTGACCTCACTGCAAAGCAGGAGAGAAAGCAGGTTTACGGGAAGGAAAGAAAAAATCCCATCTTTACATTACATATTTTAATGGCTCTTGTTTTGGCAGGTGCTCTCGGTTAAGCTCTTCTTGCCCTCTAAATCTCGCGTTTCCTTCAGCTTAGAAAAGCGACCCATATTGAACGGTAGGAAAACATCCTGCCTCCTCCTTTTTTCATAAAAGGAATGTTTATTTCTGCGAGCTCCACATCCCAGGGTGAACCTTTTTGTCAGTTTGCCCGTAAAAACCGATCCCATGCTTACGCCTTTCTACATAGAAAACACTTTTGTTTCCCCCTTTGTCTCCTAGAACAAAGGCAAGGGGGAAAAGCTTTCTGCTGAAAAGCAACAAGTCATTTCTTTTCAGGGTGTGGAATAGCACCCCCCTCCTTCCCCACAGCAGCAAGAACAACAGATTGAGGGCCAAGTTTTTACTTTAAAACAATTACAACAGGTATCACTGAGGTAAAAAGGAACTTGTGACCTGACAGAACAGAGGCATCTCCCCAGCACACGATCGGGCTGTAGCCGGCTGTGCAGTACTCACGTGATGGCTCCGCCGAGCTGGAAGGAGCAGGCAGCGAGTCAGGCTCAGGAGTTACCCTGCCCGCGCTGCAGTTCGGCCCCGGCAATTCAGGGATTATTGGGCTACTTCTCGGCAGCGGTAGCTCAACAGATCTGGCTTCCCCTCCCTCTTGTCCAAAGCAAGACAGGATGATTTTAGTTGGGTTGGAGGTTTTTTTCCTGGACAGGGGTAGCAAGGGGTAGAGAGAAGTAGAGGGACTCCTGGGGTGAAGGACTCTCCTATCCCACCAGTGGCATCTTTTTCAGTCCTCTTCCACTTAGCTGGGCCTAAGCACCACTGAACACAGTTTGACTGATCCTTTATGCGATAATTATTTTTTTTTTTTTTCAAACCTTCTGTGAGGAAGAAAAAGTTTGGAAAAGCCTCCCTTCCTCCCTCTTCAGGGAGCCATTGCCCTGCCCTTCTGCCGAGTATCTGTCTCCTCTGCATGTGTGCATGCGTGAGTGTGTGTGTGCCAGAGGGGACAGGGGGGTCTCATACTGCTGTCTCGCCTTTGCTGCCGGTGCTGAGTCTGTGGTAGAAGCGTCGCCAGGACTGAAGGGTTTTGCCAGACCAGATCCAGAAGCCAGTCGTGATCCCAACAATCATGGTCATGAGGTACTTGATCATGAAGACAGTGAAGTCTGGGCTCATAGGAGCAAAGTGGCTGGGACAGGGCACGGCATATGTTTTGCAAGTCTGGAGGAGCCACGTCTTCTCCCAGGTGCCACGGAAGGCCTGCTCATAGAAGTAACATGCCAGGACAATGGTGGCAGGCACCGTGTAGAGGACACTGAAGACACCAATGCGCACCATCAGCTTCTCCAGCTTCTCCGTCTTGGTGCCATCGTGCTTCATGATGGTGCGGATGCGAAACAAGGACACAAAGCCAGCCAGCAGGAAGGAAGTGCCAATGAAGAGATACACAAACAAGGGTGCCAGCACAAAGCCCCTCAGTGAGTCCACACTGTAGATACCTACGTAACACACCCCACTGAGTACATCCCCATCCACCTGCCCCATGGCCAAGATGGTGATGGTTTTGACAGCGGGCACAGCCCAGGCAGCCAGGTGGAAATACTGGGAGTTGGCCTCTATGGCCTCGTGGCCCCACTTCATGCCTGCAGCCAGGAACCAGGTGAGGGACAGAATGACCCACCAGATGGAACTGGCCATGCCGAAGAAGTAGAGGATCATGAAGAGGATGGTGCAGCCTTCTTTCTTGGTGCCTTGGGCCACAGTGCGGTAGCCATCCTCAGAGAAGCGCTCCAGACACACCACCCGCTCCTCCAGCAGGAAGCCTGCGGCGTAGGCCACTGCCACCATGAAGTAGCAGCCCGAGAGGAAGATGATGGGCCGCTCCGGGTAGCTGAAACGGCGCATGTCTACCAGGTAGGTGAGCACGGTGAAGAGGGTGGAGGCGCAGCAGAGCACTGACCACACACCCACCCACAGCCGGGCAAATCGCACCTCCGCCTCCTTGAAGTACATGAGCCCGTTGGGCCGGGCTGGCTCACAGGGGGCCCCGCAGTCCCGCTCCCCCAGGAACCGGTAGCCCAAGTAAGAGGGCACTTTGAGCTGCCGCGGGCAGGAGAAGGAGAAACCAGAGGGCGGCTGTGGTGGGGTGAGAAAGTCAGGGAGGTAGCCAGCCGTGGGGTGGGCAGTGGCCCCCCGGCCCGCCGCACCGCCGGGCCCTGGTGGGGCATCTGACGTGTTCTGCCCCACGCAGATCTCACCCGCACCGTGGACGGGGAAGTTCTCGCAGCGGAGCCGCTCTGGCCACTGGAAGCCGAACTTGTTCATGAGCGCCTCGCAGCCCTGGCGGGCCCGCTCGCAGAGGGAGCGGCAGGGCGGGATGGCCTGCTCCAGCACGGTGCACACCGGCGCGTACATGGAGCAGAGGAAGAACTTGAGCTCGGGCGAGCATTGCACCTTGACCAGCGGGTAGAACTGGTGCACCTCCAGCCCCGCGTCCTCCTGGTTGGTGTGGCCCAGCAGGTTGGGCAGGATGGTCTGGTTGTAGGCGATATCCGTGCAGAGCGGGATGGAGATGGGCTGGCAGAAACCGTGGTCCGGCACAGAGATGCCCTTCTCGCCGTGGTACTGCTGCGATGCCGCGTCCGCAGGGGTCCCGAGCAGGGCGGCCAGGAGTGCGGCCAGCCCCAGCCAGGGGCGGCTGGCGGCAGCCGCTCCGCCGCATCCTCCTCCAGCCAGCATTGCCGGGGCGGCCGGGGGCGCGGAGAGCCTCGGGGGGTCCTTCAGAGCCGGCCGGCACGACGCCCCAGGGGCATCAGCGCCCGGAGAGCGGCGGCGGGGCCCCTCCGGCGGGGCAGGGGCGCGGCGGCAGGGGGAACGCGGCTCCGCGCCGAAGCTCCGCGACTTTCTTCCTTGGCTCCGGCGCGGCGGCGCTGGCAGCGCGGCGGCGGCGCTTCCCTCGACGAAAGTTTCCGGAGCTGCTTTCCCCGGAGAAGGCGGCGGCGAGGCAGGAGACGCGCGCGGAGCCCGGCGGCGGCTCCGGCCAGCTCCCCACAGGGTCCCGCGGCGGCGGCGAGGCGGAGGCGCTGCTCCCTGCCCGGCTGCGCGGCCCCGGCGCCGGGGATTTAGGTTACGGCTAAACGGATTATTACCGCGCCCGGCTGAGCCGTGTATTTTACTCCGGGGCTTAAATAACTTTTAAAATCCAATTACTGCGCGATCCTCCCCGCGGCTCGGCTGGGCTCCGCTCCCGACGGACGCCGCTGTGGGCTGTGCGTCCGGGGCAGAGCCGTGCGCCTCCCGCCTCGCTCCGCTCCGCGGCTCCCGGCTCACAAAAAGGCCCCGGCGCGGCGGCCCCGCCCCCGCCGCCGGCCCCATTCACAAACCGCGCCGGGGGCGGGGCCGCGCCCGCCCGCCCGCCAATCGCCGCGCGGGGGGCGGGGCCAGGCGGGGGGAGGGGAGGGGGAGGAGCGCGCGCCAGGGGGAAAAAAAAGTTGGGAACAACTTTTTCCCATCCCCGCCGGGCCGGGCCGGGAGGAGCCGCCTGCGGCCCCCACCCCCCGCGCTGCAGGGCACAGCCGGGAAGGCGGAGGGGGGGGCCCAGGCAGCTCGCTCAGGGTGGCCCGATGAAACTAAAATTAACTGGCTGCTTTCTGAGCAGGCTTTGAAAATGCGAACAGCTGCCTGTGCCCAGAGTTATTAAAAAAGAAGAAAAAGAAAAAAAGGGGGAACTAAAAACCACAGCGTCCGGGTACATTTGTAGAATGAGCTTCTTGCGTAGTTGGGATGTTCGTGTTTGTGCGCCATCGCCTCCCCCAGCGTGGGGGGGTTTGATTTGTTATCGCAGCATGACCGTTGCTTTTTGCTGGCAGAATAAACGCTTTATTCATGCAGATCTAAGCCCTAGCTGGGGGAAGGCAGCTTTTTTTGAAAAGTCCAGTGTTACCTAAGCAGAGAGGAGAAATTTTAAGTCCCCATCTGCACTGCTGCAACTCCTTAAGAGACTCGAAAAAGCTGTCTAAAACCAGGAGCTCCTCTGTGAAAGCACCCAGACTGCCCACAAGAGAGAAAACGGCATAGGTCGGGAGAGGACTGTTACTGCCCTGCCAGGTGATGCTGAGCAGATCTAGAGCTGAGTAGATCCAGAGCTAGACTGCCATACGTTGGCTGAGGACAGAAACGTGGGGTTTGCAGCACAGCTGTGTTTTGAGGTGCACTGCAGAAACATGAGGAGCAGGGACCATCCAGCCAATGTGCAGGCAGAGCATGTCCCTGGCACCACAGAATGGGGGTGCCTGACAAAAGCTCTGCAACAAGGCCTGCTTTTCCTTCACACTGGTCTGTGGGAGCCTGTGCTCAAAGACAGACTCCAGCCAAGTGTTATTCAACTTACCCCATCCCTCCCTTGAGGATAGAGGTCCCCCTGAACTGTATTACTCAAATTCTTACTTTTACTCCTTTGCTCAGGACTATGCTCCTATTAGTAACTAAGCAAATACACCAATCTGTACCTTCCTCTAGGGCAGTTCAAGAGAGCAGGGCTTGGCTCAGAGAACTACAACAGGAATTGATGGACAAATGTTTCCCATATCCTCTCCTGCTCATAAACAGTGTGTCCTCATGACACTAAGACCACGGAGCTGCAGCTTTTGCTACGTTTGTTAAAAGAAGTTGATAGTTAGAAACATGCTTACTAAAATAAATTTACTCCTCTTTAAGAGGACATTTTTAAAATATAATATTGTGCATATAAAAAAATATGGGAAAGGCTAGCTAGTTATGGCCTCAAAGGTTGTTTCTGGAAAAGAAATAAGTATTTTCTTCGTTCTCAGTTATAGCTGTTTGGGAGTGCCTTAGAGGAACTTCAATTTTTCAATTTGTTAAGGCTTGTTATCTGAAATTCCTTACTTTTCTGCACCCATAGTGACTAAGCAGGTTTTTGTGATACTCTTCACCTAAATAACCACCCGTGGTACAAACTGACATGAACTTGTCTACCCTATTGTTTGTTCTTTGGCTGCTAGTAACTTTGAAAAATATTATTCTTTCCACTTGGTTTTTGTTGTTCTTGGTTGGTTGGTTAGCTGGGTTTTTCTTGGGGGGGTGGTTGGTTATTGGGGTTTTTTTTCCCCTGTCTTTCTGTAACGCTCCATGAGCTGTTGAGTCACCTATCTGTAATAATCAACTTAAAGCCTCTATTTTTCGCTTTGGCTTATGTGGCTGACTTCATCTGCAAAGCATTTTTTGATATTCACTATGAAAAACATTGGATGAAAGGAGATGTTTCACTGGCAGGCAATGACAATGCAGACAAAGTAAAGCAAACACGAACTTTCTGCCTCATGCATTGCTCGTTCTAACTTCTGTATGTAAAGAAACTAGTTCAGAGCTAGTAAAATTGTATTGCAAGAAACTGTCTTCCAGCAACAGGGAGGCAGTGACAGAAACTATTCAGGGTAAGGAATGTCAAATCAAGTGGCAAGACTTTACCTGGGTATTCATTTACAAGACAAGGCAGATGGCATCAGTGGCTACCCCTGTTTTCTACTGGTCCCGTTTTTTGCCATTCATCCGAACCGTGGCATGAACAAAAAAGCGACTGGGATCTCTGATACACTTATGGACATAATGTAGAATCAGAGTGAAGCCAAAGGGAAAAAACAAATGTAAGGGTAGGCAGAAAGGAAGAAGGATTATGTCCTAGATTATTTCTTAGGGAGATAAGAAGAGAGTAAACTTATCACATGGAATGATGCTGCTAGGCCATCCCGGATGGCAGGAATGTGCAACAGGATTTACTAAGATGGATGAAGAAAGTCCCTTGGGCATGTTACCAAATTCCAAGATTTTTTTTTAAATTTAGACCCACTGGGAGATGGGAAACAATCACTGAGAGAGGCAATGGCAGTCTCAAAATGGCATACTATAGTGTGAGAAAATGCCAGGCTTTTAGGTCAGCCTAAGACGTTCTGACAGCTTTCAGGGGACATTAAAGAAAGAAAAGAAAAAAAAAAAAAAAAACAAAGAAAAAAGAAAAAAAAGCAGCATCAAAATTCCAAGATTC